AGAATGGTAGGAGAACAAGTCAGAAAGGGAAGCAGGTGGGAAGTGTTGGCGATCTGGGAGGGCCATTCGGGCCACCAGAGACTTCGTGGCATCTCCCCAGATCATCTGCACTACTACAGACTGAATCATCTTTTACAGACATACCGGGTTATTTTACTACTTGCTTATAACCTCTCAGAAACTTCCCATCGATAAGGCCCTGCAGAATCCGAGTCCCATCTTTGACTCCATCCTCAGATAGACACATGCTCCCCAATGTTAGTCCTTCATATTTTCCTCCCTCATGGTATTCTATACATTTTACGGGATTTTTTTAATTACATTATGTCTGCCTCCTTCCACTCAACTAAAAACTTAAAGACCAAGTTTTGTTTTCTGTGTTTCAGCTCCAAACTTAATGCTTGGCACCAAATGGATGCTTCGTAAATATTTTTAAAATATAGAGGTGAATGATAATGGATTAAAATCAGTATCAAAAGCATATACTTACAGGTGATTTTACCCCTCAACTAAATTCCCAACTTTTAGATACAAGGAATCTTCAAAAGGTTGGTAGAAAATGAGCATTACGAAAAAACTATTCTTCAGTTCCAAAATATTTTTGCACCACAATAAACTCACAGTTTAGTTCCATTTTCCCAAGAACTTTTTGAAATCCCTTTGTACATGAATGCCTTTCTGATTGTTTTATCTCCTCACACACACAAAGATAGAGACTTGATTTTAAAGTTTAAATCAGGTAGGAATATGTATGTCACTCTTTCATTGAAGATAATTGGTTTGGCCTTCTCTCCCTTTCCTGGAAAAGATAAGGCACAAATGGATGAAGAGACAGTACAATGGAGAATGGATGACCATTACTTGGTTGTTTATGCTGCTGTTATACCATCTTGACTAAAAGCAGATGTCTTCAATCATTTGATATTACTGGATAATTTTTCTAACTTCTGTATTTATTCTGAACTTAATTCAAATGATCACATTTTAAAGTTCAACCATGTATTAAGAGCTAATAAAATAATTGATTATATAAAGCTATTCAGGGTTGGCCCTATAGCCTAGTGGTTAAGCAAGCTAGATCCCACATGGCCAGCTGTGTGGTTCAAATCCTGGCCCCAGTGGCTTGAAAAACATAACAGACACGTGTGCATGCTCAAAATCCTGACACAATGGAAAAATGGAGAAGGGATTGTGGTGTAACCACTCCCCATTAGGGATGCTTTCTTCCCCACCGCCCTGTTTCTCTGTTCCTGTCTGGCAAGAACATGGGCTGTCCAACAATGAAAAATAAAATGAAATAAAAGATTTTCTGACTGCATCAGTCTCTGTACATAAATGGGGAAACCCTACAAAATAGATTATTTATAATATCATACCAGTTGTGCAAATCAAATTATTTTAGAGCGAGAATTACCACTATCTAAACAATATCATTTATGATTCTGAGCACAAAGTTTGGTGTGAAGGGAGGGGTAATAAATACATCTTAACGGAAGTATTTATGTAACTTCATAATATCCAAGTTGAATAATTAAAAGGGTCAATGGCTTACTGTGTAATTTTATTTTGTATTACATAAACATCAGTCAAATGCACGATAGACAGGGAGATGACGAGTGGTATATGATAAATTCTCTAAAAAGGTGATATGTAGAGCTTCTTAGATTTTTATTGTATCTAAGAATCAACTAAATAGTTTGTTTAAAAATTTCAAGTTTATAGGCCAAATCACAAACTGCAATTTTTTTTTCTTCTTTTTTTGGAGGGGTTTTGTTTTTGTTATCGGGCGTGTGCACTCGCCAGAAAGACAGAGAGGGACAGAGGGACAGAAAGCGCCGCAATCCCTTCTCCTCCATTCTCCTCTCATGATCTTGGGCACGTATGCACACGCGCCTGTCTGAATTTAATTCACTGGGTCCGGGACTCAAACTGCGGTCGACTACATGGGAGTCCAACGACACAGCCATTACGCCAACTACTGGTCCCTTACAAACTGCAATTTAGAAAAACCTAGATGGAGCCTAGGAATCAGTACATTATTAAACAACTCAGTGACTGATAAAAGATAGATTACTATGAAGTTTGTCCTTATTTCTTACTTGAACTGCACAAGTGAATGGATGAAAGGTAGGGAGAACAGACATTAGTACTAGAATCAGAGTAGAGGCATAAGCCAAGCCAATGTCTTATAGCCTAGCTAAAGACATTCAGATGAGGAAATGCTTCATGGATTAAGCAGAAACATCTGGGGCACAGACTCTTAATACCACTGTTTCAAAAGGGCGAATAATACTATGACAGTGACTTTGAAAAATGTTGATCAGATGCAATGCAAGCTGGACAGTCAGTTAGAAAGTTCAGAGTGAGGGCCAGTAGGTGATTTAGAGGTTAAGGTGCTGGATTCCACATGGCCACCTGTGCAGTTTCAATCCTGGACCTGGTGGCTAGAAAATCAGGCGGGGCATGTACGTATGTGAGCCCCAAATCCTGAGAGGAGACTGGAGGAGAAGGGATTGTGATGTGGCCATCTTCTCTAGGGGGTAATTTCTTTTTTTTTCCTCTCTGTTTCTGGCAAGCACATGAACCCTACAAAATGGGGGGAAGAAAAGTATGATCAGAATTAGACGACAAAGGTGAGCAGTAAGGAAGAGGTACTTAAAAGAAAATAAAATGTCAAGACATTTTGGTAAGCAACTTAAAACTTTCTTACACATATTAAAGAATAGGCAGTTACAATTAAATATAACATTATAAAATACCCATTACAAAAAAATAAAATAATAAAATAATCTTCAACAGGTTTTCAGATCTTTACTTGCATGATTCTTGACACTTCACTGGAGCTCAGCAGCAATTTGTATTGCCTACAAACATTATTAAAAAGAAATATTAGTATTCTAACTTAAAATGAATTTAAAAAGCATTAAAAACTCGAAATAGGCCTCCTGCCTTCACTAAGGCAACTGCAACAACGCTTACATTCTACAGCATAATTTTATACTCCTTTATTCATTATTTCAGCCAATTGTAATCTGATGTGAAAGATACGAAGATTCACAGTCAACAAAGAGAAAATGTACTCCTCCAAAACACAAACTAGAAGATGATTAAGTACCTAAGAGACATTTAGGTTAAAATGCTTAAGGCTGGTCCTAGCAGGTGGTGTGGTGGTGAAGGTGATGGACTCCCACATGGCTAACCATAGTTCAAGTCCTAGACTTGGCAGCTTGCTTTCTCGCTTTCCCTCCTTCTCACTTTCTCTGTCTCTCTCTGGTAAGCACGTGAGCCCTATAGCAAGTAAAAAAAATAATAATGATAAATAAAATGAAATAATTATTAAGAAAAATTTATAATGCTAAAGGCATTACAGAAGGAACAATTGGAGCAGGGAGGTATTGGTATAGGTAGGAGCAAAAAAGTCAGACAAGGTATTCAGGAAGGTGTTGTCTGAACTGGGCATGAAGGACAGGTGGGATCTGGATATAAAGAAGAGATAGTAAGGAAGGAGGCAAAAAACTGCATTGTACACATTAACATCTTTTACATGGGACCAGCAGTTGGAGTAATGGCTATGTTGCTGGACTCCCACGTAGTCGACCGCAATTTGAGTCCCGGACCCGATGGCTTAAACTCATGCCAGGTGCATGTGCGTGCATGCCCAAGATCCCGAGAGGATAATGGAGGAGAACAGATTGCGGCGTGACCAACTCCTCTTGGGGGTGATTTCTCACTTTCTGTCTCTCTGTCTCTCTGTCAAGTGCACGAGCCCTATAGCAAAACCTCTCTTCCCACAAAAAAAGAATATCTTTTATATCAGAAGGTGTCAACAAATTTTCACAGTTCACAAAATGGGTAACTAGTGAAATGCTGTGAAAGCAAATCCAAAGAAGATGACACTTCAATATATTTATACATTTCTTACCTTCTTTTAATGGGGTTTTGAGGGCAAAATTTTCTTTACTTTCATGATGAAAAGCCTTTGAAGGATCAAAGCGTTTAATACCCAGAACTTTATTCAATTCTTCTTGAAGTTTTCTCTCACTTTGTTTTTTTTTAGCAAGCTGAGAACGGAGTTTTGACACTTCCTATGTAAGAAAAATATAGACAATAAACGATTAAACATCATGTTACCAATGTTATGAGCAAATTCCAAAGTTGCTTACACATCAAACCTAATGGCAAAAATTGCTACTAAATGTGGGCTTTAGGACCATACATTACAAAATGACTTTGAACAGCTATGACAAAGGAGATAAAGTCTTTTAAATTCTCATGCTCCTCTCCAGGTACAAAGCTATTTTCCTGATCAAAGTTCTAGTCAAATTAAATGCCAAGATCAGCTTCTGGTATGACAGCATGAGAAGCTCCATTGACCAGCTCCCTAGTGAAACTGAAACTTACAAAGGTAGCCAGTTAAAGCCTCTGAGAATGGATCTAAAAGGAAAAATAGCAAATAAAGAAAAGTCTACTCGAGAAAATCTACAAAAACTTGATAAGAAAGATAGGAGTCTATGGTATTTGAACCCAAACTTCTCCTTCCCTTCCCACACCCAGTTTAATGAGGCAAACTCCATGCCTGTCACTCCCGATCAGAGACTTTCATCCTAGGAGAAGATCATCTTGGCAACCTGTTGCTAAGGTTATGTTCTGGGCAAATGCTATTGAAGATGGAAGATCCCTTCTTCCACGCAGTTCTACTTGTGAAACAGAGGTTCTATCTTGGGTACAGTATTCTGAAAATGCTGATTACCCTTGCCCTGGCTCGTGAGGTGGTTTCATGCCAGGAGAGGCAAGCTGAGAGAACCTTAAGCTATTCCTCACTTCTCTCCCCCACAAATCCACTGAAAGCTCAGCTCCTAAAGCAGAGGTGTCACTCAGAAAGAAGATTGCTATTCTTTCCATGTCCTGCTCCAGAGTCCTAGCCTAGGCTTTTTGTCTTAGGGAAGAAGCAGGCCATAAAATAGCATCTAAATTCTTCCCATAGATATGCTCCATGCTCCCTTTATTTGCAACAGAGTTTGGATTCATTCAAGCTTATGGGCGCTCCAAAAATGAGTGGAGGTTGTGGTGAAAGGTAATTGTGTGCATGTGTGCCTATGATCTGCGTCATCTGAAACCGGAAGTAGCAGACTGCAGCATGAAGACTATGTTGTCAGTGTCCTCTTTTTCTCATGGAAGAAATAAATGAATAAAACTTGAAAGGGTGTAAAACCTATACACTAAAAACTAAAAACTGTTGTTGAAAGAAATTAATGGAGGGACCAGCAGGTGGCGTGGTGGTTAAGGTGCTGGACTCTCCCACATGGCCGACCAGGGTTCGAGTCCTGACTCTGGTGGCTTGCTTTCTCACTTCTCTCTCTCTCACTCTCATCCTCTGTTTCTCTCTTGTCAAATTAAAAGATAAATGAATGAATAAATAAAATAAGATAAATAATTATAAGAAAAAAAAAGAAGTTTAAATAAAAAAGAAAGAAATTAATGGAGATCTAAATAAGTGAAAAAATATCTTTGGACACAGAGTGAAAGACTTAACATAATTAGGATGGCAAGATGCCTCTAAATGATCTGCAAAGTCAATACAATTCCTGGGGCTGGCAGATGACATTGTGGTTAAGGGCGCTGGACTCCCACATGGCTAACAGTGGTTCAAGTCCCAGACCTGGTAGCTTGCTTTCTCACTTTGACTCTCTCTCTCTCTCTCTCTCTCATTCTGTCCCTCTCTGGTCAAATTAAAATAAATAAAGTTAAACAAAATTCTTAAAAAAAAAAATTCAATGCAATTCCTGTCAAATTCCAGCTGGCTTCTTTGTAGACATTAAAAAGCTGATTCTGAAATTCATACAGAACCATAAGGGATCCAGAATAGAATAAATAATCTTGTAAAAGGAGAACAATCCAGGATGACTCACAATTTTTGATTTCAAAACTTCCTGAAAAACAACAGTAATCTTGTGTGGCGACACAAGAACAGATGTGTAGATTAATGCAATGGGATTGAGAGTCTAGAAATAAATTTATACATACAGTGAACAGATTTTTGACAAGAATGCCGACACCAATTTTTGGGTGAAATAGTCTCTTCAGCAAATGATGGAGGGACAACTGGACATCCACATGCTAAAGAATGAAGTTGAACCCTAAATCTTATACCATATACAAAATTTAACTTAAAATAGATCAATGATCTAAATGTAAGTACTAAAACTATAACAAACACATAGGGGGAAAATCTTCATGACCTTGGACTCGGCAAAGGATTCTTATACAGATGTCAAAGAACAAGAAACAAAGGAGAAAATAAACACATTGAGCTATAACATTTTGTACTTCAAAAGACATTATCAAAAAAGTGAAGGTAACACATAAAATTATGTGGAATAATACTCGTCACAAGAGTGTTGTATCCAGAATATATAACAAACTCTCACAGTCCAATAATTAAAAGAGAAATAATCCAATTTAAAAAATAAGCCAAATCTGAATAGATACTTTTCTGAGCCTGTTCCGTAGATTAGTGGTTAAGGAAGCCAGATCCCACGTGATCCCAGCAGGTTGAAAATCATACTGGGGATGTGTGCATGCTGTGTGCCCCAGAAATGGAGAAAAGACTGCAATGTGACCACTTCCCATTGGAGAGTGTTTTTTCTTTCTCCCTCTTTCTCTGCCAAGTGTAAATACTCTCTGGCAATCTCTAGCAATTAAGAACAAAAAGCAAAAATAAAAAGGAAATTTTTCCTAGGAAGATATTCAGTAAAACATGAAAAAATGATCAAGATTATTAGCCATCAAAGCAATAAAAATTAAAACCACAATGAGATACAACTTCACACTGGCATGGCTAGAATAAAAAAAGATAATAATAAATGTTGGCAAGGATGTGGAGAAACTGCAACCTTCACACACCAGAGGAATACAGAATACTATAGGCACTTGGAAAAACAGTCTGAAAATTCCTAAAATGATAGAATTATCATATAACCCAGCAATTTCACTTCTAGGTAAATTCCCAAGAGAAATAAAAAACATTTGTCTATACTAAAACTTCCTCTTAAATGTTTAAAATAGCATTACTCCTAATAGCCACAAGATGGAAACAACCAAGTGTCAGTAAACTGATGGTGGATAAATAAAATGTATTAGGTCATCAGGAAAGTAACAACTTATTTTTCTACATTTTCCAATGCCAAAATGTGTCACAACTTTCCCAGTGATCCTATAGTATATCCAAACAATGAAATATTAGGCCGTAAAAAGGTAATGTGGGGTTGCCAGCAGGTGGCACGGTGGTTAAGGTGTTGGACACTCCTACATGGCTGACCACAGTTCGAGTCCTAGACCTGGTGGCATGCTTTCTCACTTTGTCTCTCTCTCTCTTTCTCTGTCTCTCTTTGGTCAAATTAAAATAAATGAATGAATAAATAAAATTTTTTTAAAAGTAATGAGGTACTGATACATGCTACAACATGGATAAACCTTGAAATATTAAGTTAACTGAAAGAAGCCAGTCACAAAGACTGCCTATTATTTGAATCATGAATATGAACTATCCATTATAGGGAACCTAAAGAAAAAGAAAGTGGATTAGTGGCTGTTAAGGCTCATGGGTGGTGTAGGAAGATGATGGGTATAGAGTTTCATTTTGAGATGATGAAAAAGTTTTAAAATTAACTGTGGTGATGGCTGCACATACCTGAATATACTAAAAAAACCCACTAAAGTGGACAGTTTTAAAAGGGTGAGTTGTATGGGATGTGAATTATGTCTCAACAAAGCTGTCAAAAAATGTAAATACCCAACTATCTTTTAACATTGGCTTTCTGTATGGTATTTGCCTCAAGGTTTTTGTTATTTTACAAATATAAATGGATGTGTAAACCTTTCTGAATTCTTCTATCATCAATAATAATTTTCAATATATTAAAGAGACTTATTAATTTCTGAGCACATTGAAATGGAACTCTGAGCACATTGAACACCGATCTGGTCAACACTCAAAAATAAATCTATTAATTCTCAGACAGATTTTTCTATTATAAACTATTGTTCTTTTTTCTGATACTAAAGACCTTTATTTTGCTTAAATAGAAGTCATTAAATAAACTTGCGACCTAATATCTTTTTCTTTTTTTGGAGGTTTTTGCTATAGGGCACGTGCACTCGCCAGGCAGACAGAGAGACAGAAAGCGAGAAATCACCCCCTAGGGGGGATGGCCACGCCTCAATCCATTCTCCTCCATTCTCCTCTCAGGATCTTGGGCACGCTTGCACATGGGCCTGGCGTGAGTCTAAGCCACCGGGTCCGGGACTCAAACTGCGGTCAACTATGTGGGAGTCCAGCGACATAGCCATTACACTAACTGTTGGTCCCCGCTACCTAATATCTTAATAGAACTAAAAGTTACTTTACAAACCGATTTGAGTTGGCTATTTTCATCTTTCAATTTCACAACATGCTTGATTTTTTGCTTTAGATTCTGATGACCCAATAATTTAGCATACGAATCTCTTAGTTTATTTAGCTGTTCCTGAGCTGCACCATGTTCATTCAACAAAGCCTGTTTCTCTGCTTCAAATGCATCCAGTTGTGACTGAAAAAGAATTTTTAAAATAAAGTTAAATCTTAAATTCATTAAATCTTACAAATCTCATATAAGTTATATTAAAGCAACAACTAAAGAAAAATAAAAAATAAAATCATAGAATGCTCACATATTCTCAGGGTTGTCTATAGGTTCTCTATAAAAAAATCCTTCAAATTTTATATTTTTAATTGCCAAAATTAGCTTTTATACCTTTATCTTTTAGAGAGATCAGTGTATTAATTTAAGAGAAACTAAGGACATAACAAAATACATTGCATAAATTACTATAGACTAATTATTAAGAGTTCATATCAGGAGAGCCTTCTGAACTACTAACTTTAAGTCACTTATGTATTTTTTATTCAATAAAGGTCACTTTAAAAATTTTATGTCTGGGGCCAGCAGGTGGCATGGTGGTTGGAGCGCTGGACTCCCATTATGGTTGACTGTGGTTCAAGTCCCACACCTAGTGGCTTATTTTTTCACTCTCCCTGACCCTCTGGTCAAATTAAAAAACCATGATAACAAATAAAATTAAATAATTTTTTTCTAAAAAGTCAATTTATCAATTAAATTTGCCAATTACAGATCAATAAAGCTGAAAAATATGTATAACAAATAAAATATGTAAACTTTGTTTGATAGGAAATTAAACTGGCACTGCAAAACCATCAAGCAGAAAAACTAAGTCACTGGAAGGTAAGTGAATGCTCTAAGTAAACACAAGTTTAGTGCTGACAAACCTGAAAAGGTTTTGTTTTATTATACAGTTCTTCATATAGGAGACGCCATTTATTAATTTCTTCAGTTATTTCTGCCATTGCATTTTCATTTCCAGCTTTTCTGTATGGGATAATAAAATTTTAAAACATCATTTATTAGAAAAAAATAAGTTACACAAGGCGCTCGTGTCCCGTACCTAGACTCGGGTGGCCCGTCCTTATTTGCAGTTTTGCTTTCCATGATTTCAGTTACTCAAAGTCAACTGAGGTTGAAAAATAGGTGAGTACAGTAAAATGAGATATTTTCAAACAGAAAGACCACATGCACATGACTTTTATTAAAATATATTGTTATAACTGTTCTATTTTATTTGTAGGCATTGATGGCTGTTAAGCTCTTACCATTCCTAATAAAATATATTTATCATGGGTATGTATGTATAGTAATAATGTAGTATATATAGTAGGCCCTCTGTTCCTGCAGCTTCCCCATCTGCAACATAACCAACCTTAGATCAGAAATGTTATTTTGTTGCTGACATGTACTATGTAATTAGGCTTATCATGGTTGCATCTATCACAAACATGTAGACTTTTTTCTTGTCATTATTACCTAAATAATTTAGTATAACAATTATTTATATAGTATTTACATTGTATTAGATATTATAAGTAATGTAGAGGTGATTTAAAGTGTAGGAGAGGATGTGCATAAGTTATGTGAAAATACTAATCATTTATATACAGGCCTTGAGTACTGATGGATTTGTATCCACAGGAGTCTGATACCCAACCCCTTGCAGATAACAGGGGAAGGACTCTACAGGATTTGGTACTATCCATGGTTTCAAATATCCATAGGGGTCTTGAGATGAATCCTATATGGATAACAGGATATTACTATACCTTGCTCTCTCCTCTTCCAGTTGTTTATCAAAATCTTCACTTTGTTGTTTGAGTTGGTTCTGCAAATCAGTTAATTTTTTAAGAGAAGAAACTGTAATTTCTTTCATTTCTGCTTCCTTAAGGGCCAATTTGGCCTGGAGATCTACAAGCACCCTTGAGTTTGATAGAGAAAAGTCCACTAAGTATTTCACAGCAATTTTAATCATTTTTTTCCTTCTCCCTCATTTTTTAACTCAAGGCATTTTTTAAGAATTGTAATTTTTTTCTTTTTTAGTTTTTTTTGCTAGAGAACGCATACACTTGCCAAAGAGACAAAGATAGGAAGGGAAAATGAAAGCATCCCCCAAGAAAGGATGGCCACCCACAATCCCTTCTACTCCATTCTCTTCTTAAGATTTTGGGCATCTATGCATATATGCCTGGTGTGCTTTTCAACAAGTGGCCAGGTCTGGGATTCAAATCTCTCATCAGCCACATGGGATTCAGTAGCCCTTACCATTATACCACCAGCGGGTCTGAGAATTGTCATTTCTTACCAAGTAGATTCTTAATTTGCAATTTCAAAGCTCCTAAGCAACCCATGAGACATCCTCTGAATCACTTACTAGCTGGTTTGCATTAAACTATCTTAATAGTTCAAAGGTTATATACAGAGAAAAATTTTATGTGTTCTACATACCTTGCATATTCCTGATTTGAATTTTCAGTGGTCAATATCTGCTGTTGAATATCCTCCAAACTTTTTTCAGCTTTGGCCACTTTTTCCTGTAGTGATGAGTTCTCCAGCTTAAGATCTTTTATCTCACTAGCTGTTAATGCTTTATAGCTTAAAAAAGAAAAAAGAGTAAAAGCATTTGTCTACGGTATAAATAACAAGCACATCGATGATCATATATTTGACATTTTTAGGTAAAACAAACAAACCTTATAATACATTCATGCATTTACACAGGTAAAAATCCAGTGTTCTCACATCCTCTGTTCATTCAAAGAAAAAGAAATCAAGTACCTACTCTGTGCACGTACTATGAACACAGAGATTTAAAAAAACCAAAATTACCAACATTGATGAAAATTACTCCAAAACTTAAACATAAAATCTGCACACGCTGTCATAGACATTATGGTTTTATGGGGAAGAAGATGAAATGCCTTTCTCTGTGAAAACTGTGTAAACAAACACATAATGAAATATTTAATAAGTGATAAAGGAAAAGTATAAAAGAACTTCACGCTGACAGAACAGAGGAACTTACATTTTTGTGATTCAGAAAAGGCCTTTTTAAGGAATTTATACTTAAGCTGAGACATGGATAAGGAGGAGTTACTGGGCAGATAAGAGAAGTATTTCAGAGGATGAAGATTAATGTGGGTTGAGAGGCAGAGAGAACACTGTTGATTCAGTAAGAGGTGAGAATGGAGCTTAATGAATAAGAAAGGCAAGAAAAGAAGCTAGAGGCCAGAGACTAATCACCTCAAGGTTGGGTGGGATAAAGGAGAGTCACTAAAATTCTCTAAGAAAAGGTGTGGGTTATTCTACAGACAGGAGGATGACAGAAGGGAATAGAGGAATGTGTAAATGGAAAATAAATGGGAAGACAATTATTTATCAGCCTAAGCGTGTGATAAAGGAGGCTTAAATATTTGGCAACTGGAAAGATGTGAGATCTCTTTGGATCCAAAAATAGGAAAATTCTAAGAGAGAGACTAGATACTGAGAGAAAGGGAGAGAATATGATGGAAAGATCTGCTGTGAAGAAATAAAGTTTAATACCATTAATATACTGAAAGAAAGTGAAATTATAGGACAAAAACTTCCTGAAGTACTTTTTTTCAAACATTACTAGTGGGAATGTAGATTTCTTAATCTCATTTTAGAAAGTGATTTGGTATTAAATTTCTAAGCCGAATATTCACATATTACTGACATTTTAGAGAACGTCTTACACTTGCATACTACAAGGCTATAATAGTCACAAGTGTTTTTTGGGTTTTTTTTGAGAGGTTTTTGCTATAGGGCGCATATGCTCACCAGAAAGACAGAGACAGACAGAGAGACAGAAAGCAAGAAATCAACCCCCCAGGGTGGATGGCCACGCCACAATCCCTTCTCGTGGGATCTTGGGCACACAAGCAGCACACACACAAGGTGTTGAGTTTAAGCCACTGGGTCTGGGACTCAAACCGCGGTCGCCTACATGGGAGTCCAGCGACATAGCCATTATGCCAACTGCTGGTCACAACACAAGTGTATTATTAATAAGAAAAGAATTGGGTCAGACCAGCCCATAGAGTAGTGGTTAAGGCAATGAATCCCATATGGACGGCCCTACAGTTCCAGAATGGACCCAACAGATTAACACAATGGGTGCATACGCAGAGTGCCCAAAATCCCAAAAGGAGACAGATGGAGAAGAGGGGGTGCTTTCACAACTCTCCCCACACCATACTCCCACTGCCTTCCAGTAAGCATGTATCCCCTCTGGCAAATCAATCAATCAATAAATAAATAAATAAAAAGGGACTAGGAAACAACCCAAAATAAACCTAAAGAAAGAATACATACGTAAATGGTGGTATGTTCCTATATCAGATAGTGATAGCAAGGACCACAAACAAACTACATACAGCCTTAGGCAACATGACCTGACCCCAGAAACATCCACAGTGAAAAGGCAAGTCTCGGGAAATGGCACATACTATGATGATATGTTTTGGTGACTTGTGGGAAAAAGCACAATTTAACACCTTTTAATATTGACTGGAAAATTCCAGTAGAAAAGTTTAAAACAGTAAGAGACAGGGAGAGAGGTCACTGAAGGTTAAAGGACTAATAGGGGATTAGACAGGACAAGTATACATGTGGGTATTTATGGTGATGGTGAGATCCAACCTTTTTCATTCTTTAAGGAAAACGATGACACCTAGGAGTCAAGAAGAACGTAATGGCTATGTCGCTGGACTCCCACGTAGTCGACCGTGGTTCATATCCCAGACCCAGTGGCTTAAAACTCACGCTGGGTGCGTGTGCGTGTGTGCCCAAGATCCCGAGAGGAGAATGGAGGAGAAGGGATTGCGGCGTGACCATCCCCCCTGGGGGGGGATTTCTCGCTATCTGTCTCTATGTCTCTCTCTGTCTGTCTGGCAAGCACACGCGCCCTATAGCGAAAACCTCTCAAAAAAAAAAAAAAAAAAAAGAAGTAGTGCCAAAGATTTGAAAATGCACGAAATTTGAAGTGGACAGTGGGAAAAGGAAAATTTCTATACAAATATAGTAAAATTACCAAGTGACTTACATGCCTATTTCTGGATAGGTATTATGGAACTTAAAGTAATACCGAACACTTGTTTTATAGGATTGCTTTGTCCACAGATTTCCCCTGGTAAACACCTATCCCTGCTCACATTATATCTGAGAATGCAGACCACCAAGAAAAATACCTTTCAAATTGAGCAGTAACATCTTCAAGGTTCTGCACTGTGCTATTACACGTTTCCTGCAAAAGCAGGGTGGCCTGAGTGTGAGCAGTATTACTCCTCTCCAGTTCAGCTTCTTTCCTAAAAAAAAGGAACAATTAAAGATACAATGTTAACTACAAAATACCACTCTAAAACAGAGAATATATTTACCTCTGGAATGGTGAGTCACATAGCTCGTATCTTCACCTTTGCATTATTTATGGACAGTTCAGATTCAAGATTATGACTTACCTCTAATTGCATGCTTTTATTTTTTTTTAAGAATTTTTATTCATCTATGTTTTTAAAAGAATTATTTAACTTTATTTATTTATTTTTAATTTAACCAGAGAGGAGAGGGCAAGAGTGAGAAAGAGAGGAAAAGTAAGAAAGCAAGCCGCCAGGTCTGGGACTGGGACAGCAGTAGGCCATGTGTGAGTCCAACAACCTTAATGGTCTCACTGCCTGCTGGCCCCTCTATTCATTTATTTTAATTTGATCAGAGAGAGACACAGAGAGGGGGGGGGAAGGGGAAGGGGAAGGGGAAGGGAAAGTAAGGGAAGATGTTTGGAAAAATCCTGGCCATGCAGTCATAAATGGCTTCTCACCAAGCAGCCATGTAGGACTGTCCAGTGCCCCAACCATCGTGCCAACTACTGACCCTAATTGCATGCTTTTTAATATATAACTTTTCTATTAGCTTATCGTTCCTGCTCTTAATTTACTTTTGTTTTCATCCCAATCACTCATTACTAAACTTATCTTTTGATATCATAAGGATTTATGTAAGTAGTTTAAAATTTTGAGGGCAAGAAAGAAGGAAGAAAAAAGACTCTAAAATAGACTCCTATAGCACCAAAGACTAAAGAATGCACCTGGATTTAATACAGTTTAATTTCCTGCATTTAGACACTTAAGAAATATTAAATATAGTTTAAAAGAACATAATTTTATAAGTTTTTTTGAGAAAAGTTATAGGACTATATGGATTTATTTTGATTATATGAGTAACCCACATAATGTATTGTTATTCTAAGACCCAAAAGAAGATTATCTTCTTTAATTAATTATTTTTGCACAGACTAGAGGTCTTGGTCATCTTTACTGATATATACTACAAATCAGAGATTTGTTCTGATATTAATCTTATATATTACCAAAATGGCAAAAAAACTTTTACAGGCTTATGAGATCTTTTAAACACATAGAACAAAAAAAACTAAGTTGTGCACTTATAGACTAAGTCAAACATTGAGACAAGATAAATGGCTGATTAAATTCATTCTGTAATAGGCTAGAAGGCAGCATAGTGGTAATGCAACTGGATTCACACGGGAAGGTCCAGGTTCACTTTCCAGGGCCTCCTGGTATAGGCTAGGTACATAGGCTGGGGGTGGATAGTGGTATAAAGACTCTGAAGGTTCCTCTCCTCTCTCCCTTTCTCAAAATAAGTAAACTTGAAAAAAAAAAAAAAAAAAGAAGGGAGTCAATCAGTGGCCTTCCATATGAGAGGGTTCTTCATCTCAGTCCAGAGACTTTCTTGAGTACACTGGACACATCTTGCCCATGATCTGAGGCTGGCTGGCTAAAGGCTAGAGGGGGATAATGGTGCCAACATCCTATTGGTGGCACTGTTCTCTCTTTCTGTCTTTCTTGCTCATGGGAGAAAAAAATGAAATTTTAGAAAAAGGAAAAAAAAAAAAAGATGCAGCTGTGAGAAACTGCTCATTGGCCCAGTAGGCGGTATGGTGATTAAGGTGGATGGATCCCACATGGCCATCGTGCAGTTCAAGTCTCAAATTCAGCGACTTGAAAAACATGCCAGGTGCATGTGTATTAGTGCCACAAATCACAAAAGGAGGGAGGGGAGAGACTAAAAAAGGACTGCAGTGCGACCATCCCTTACAGGGATGCTTTCTCAGTTTCCTTTTCTCTCTCTTTCTGCCAAGTGCCTGCATCCTCTAGCATATTTTACAAAGAATTGTTCATTAAAAACTAACAACTAAATGCACTCTGTAACAAGTATAAGATTTAAAATATATATATAACATAGCAAAAACAATAAAATATTACTAAAAGATCTGTAATAATATTTTCTTCCTTATCCCCTAAGTGGAATCTCTTTCAATTCTTAGTTGGTTTTCTCTTAAGCTTGAAATTTCCAGGCTGGAAGGAGCTTTAGAGATTATTGCAAAAAACTCATTTATTTCATATCTAATGAAGCAGAAAATGAAAGAAATTAAGATTGTCTTACTCAAAATTAGTTAGTTAACAGATCTAGTCACAGAATCCTTATGTCTTGATCTTTGACCAGAATTCTTTGAGTTAAGTAAATGATTGTCTTAACTTTCTTTCCTCTCTGAAATCAACACACATCACCTATTCAATTTCTTAAGGTTCCTGTTTCCTGAGACTGGCTGCAGTAAAGAACAATCCTCCTCATTATACTTTTGCATTATTTTTCCAAATAGCAGAAATAGTTAAAACCTAGGTATTCATCACTAATCGCAAAGAAAAAAGAAAACGGATTAATAATGAAAGTATTCAATAAGAGGCAGATAGATACATGGGTGTGTGATATATAATACTACAGGATCATATTTAACTCCATGCTAGAAAATGTTTCAATGATGGGGCTTAGTAGGTGGAATGGAGGTTAAGGTACAGGATCACACGTGGCCAGCTATGCGGTTTGAGTCTCTGACCTGATGGCTTGAAACCACATAAGGCACGTGTGCATGCATGCCCCAAATCCCAAAACAAGAATGAAAGAAAAGGGATTTGCAGCTTGCTCACCCCCCCACCCCCACACACAGGGGGTGATTTCTCACTTTCCCTCTCTCTCTCTCTTTCTGTGGTGTGTACATGACCTACAGCAAAAACCTAAAAGAAAAAAAAAGGTGTCTAATGGAAGATATGACTTTACAGTAAAAGGCAAGGGCTGGTCAGTGGTGCAGTAGCAAAAGCTCTATATCACACTAAAAAATATTTAATTAAAAAAGAACGTTTTAGAAATAAGGTCCCAAATGGCTTAAATAACACAAATTGTTTTTTTTTTATTTGCAATTTGAATTCAAGAGCAAAACTGGATATTTTACTTTTAAGAAATTTAATGGAGAAGGAGCACAATGTGATAGAAATATAAAATGAGTTTAAAAAAACCCCAAGATCTTAATTTTTCTACTTTGAATGATGTTTTTCAATGTTTCCCAATTCTTGTCTTTTGATTGCTACTTCTTTTTTTAAAGAAATATTTAGTTAATTTTATTTATTCATCATTATTATTTTTAAATCTGCTATAGGGTATGTGCATTCACCAGAGAGAAAGAGAGAGAGAGAGAAAAGTAAGAAAGAAGTTGCCAGACCTGGGACTCAAATTGTGCTTTGCCATTGTGGGAGTCCAACACTTTAATAAATATCATGCCACCTGCTAGCACCTTGATTGCCACTACTTAAGAATTTGTGTTTCCTCAAAAAAAAGGTAATTAAAAGGCATAACTTAAGGGAACCAGCAGTTAGCGTAATGGCTATGTCGCTGGACTCCCACATAGTCAATCGCGGTTCGCGTCACACCGGGTGCGTGTGCGTGTGTGCCCAAGATCCCGAGAGGAGAAGGGATTGCAGCGTGACCATCCCCCCTGGGGGGTGATTTCTCGCTTTCTGTCTCTATGTCTCTCTCTGTCTATTTGGCGAACGCACACGCCCTATAGTGAAAAAAACCTCTCCAAAAAGATAAAAAATAAAAATAAATAAATAATAAAAAGGGCTTAAGATGTACATATAGATGAAAAAATAGAAAATTTAAGCATTTTATTAAAGAGTAGAATTTTTAATATTTTCTTCCCAAATTCACTATTATTGTAATGCTAATGTGCAATAATTTTATAAAACATAAGAGTAGTAAAGGCACATAAGCTTTTGATTACTGACTTATTAAAACTCTCTAGTTAAACCTCTGGTCTTAAAAAAACGTAAGAGCAACCTTTGCCTATCATACTCGTGTACACTCTGTGCGTGTACTTTACCTTTGGCTATCCCATACTTGTAAAATAATTCCAAGCCCACACATTGACATGACTGAAGTGAGAAACCTATGAAAGTATACTAGAAAATACCTTTTAACATCTTTAGTCATATATAAACATGAGGTCTTAGTAATACGTACCCTTTCAACTTTTCTTCTAAGACTTTTAGTTTTTCAGCCCTAGAGTTCACTTCTTCTTCCAACTGCTTAACCAGGCTTTCAGCTTGTTCTTCCTTTTGCTGTAATTTATCCAGCTCATCCAAGGCCTGCTTTAATTCTTCCTCAAAAAGATTCCTTTCTTTCATCATTTCCTCTTGAAAAGAACATAGCTTCTGCTGAAGATTTGAAGAGAATTCCTACATCCAAACAGATAACCATCGAGATAATTCAAAATGATATTATGAGGTTTTACTAAGCAAAAAAAAAAAAAACACGGAAGTAATAATAAAGTATGGAAACTAAATGGAAGAGTTCAAAGACACTTAACACAACATAGAGATACCATATTCAGTTTTCTATAGGTTATATCCTACATTTCGTTAACATTGTAGCAAATAATCATTTCAGGTTTTTTTCTATGCAATGCACACATGTGCTTATCAAAGTAAAATTATATTCGGTATCTATTCTACAACTAGCTTTTACATATGCTTTAATTTAGACAAGTGATATGATCCCATATAAAAACTATACTATGATTTCAGTGTTTTATAAACATCATTTTAGGTTACTGAATACACAAATACATCACTATTGTGAATAAATTATAACAGTACAAATGAGTGAATATTATCTTTACTATTTTCCACCATGGTTTCAGTTTTCCCATTCCAGAGATAAACACTGCTTTGAATATATATGACGTCAGGTCCTTCTTTTAGATATTGATGATACATCGTCTGTGTATATAAGTGTTACTTTATAAACCCATAAAAATGGTTCTTGAGATTTTTCCTGATCAGTACATAGGTATATAGATCTACTTAATTCATTTAGTTGTTACAGATTGTCCAAAAGAATATTTCTGATCAGTGCATGTAAATAAGTATTGACATAATTATCACCAATGCTTTATATTATCAAAGTTTTATTTGTGCCAGTTTGTAAGTTGAAAAAAAAAATTTCCATTTCTCTGGTTACTACTGAGGGAGGAACAACTTCTCAAGATTACAGGTTATCTGAAATACTTTGAGAATGATCTAATTCCATCCTATGCTCATGCTTTATTATTGAACTGTCTTTTTTCTTGTATAAGATATTCTTTTTTATTTTTTTTAAAGGTTTTTTGCCATATGGCATATCTGTTTGCCAAGAAGAAACTATGAGAGGGAAAGTGGGAAATCATTCCCTAGGGGAGATGGCCATGCCTTAATTCTTTCTCCTCCATTCTCCTGAGATTTGGGGCATGTACAGACACGTGCCCACCGTTACTTTTCAAGCTGCCAGGTCCAGGACTCGAACTGTGGTCTACAATGTGGGTGTCCAGTGCTTTAACCATCACGCTATCTCCTGGCCCAAAAATGTTCTTTATGTAATCTGGATTATTTTTTCTTTTTAAGAGAGATTTTTGCGATAGAGTGCATGCACTCACCAGAGAGACAGAAAGTGAGGCCTTGTCCTCAGGGAGTATGGCCACACCACAATTCCTTCTCCATTCGCCTATTGGGATTTTGGGCATGCACATGCAAGCACCCAGTGTGAGTTTTAAGCCTCCGAGTCCCAGACTCGAACTGTGGTTAACTACATGGGAGTCCAGCAATGTAACCATTATGCCATCAGCTGGTCCCTATAGTCTGGATCTTAAAAATTGTTTTGTTTTTCCTTTAATTAGACATTCTTTAATCAGATAACTATGAATGCCTACATAACACAAGATTGTGATAGGAAATTTTTTTAAAGATGTCTTTGCTATAGGGCACATGCACTGGCTGGAAAGACAGAAAAAGAGAGAGAAAGTGAGAAATTACCCCCCGGGTGGATGTCCACACCACAATCCCTTCTCCATTCTCCTCTCATGATTTTGGGCACACAGGGTATGTGACCAGTGTGAGTTTCAAGCCACCAGGTCTGGGACTCAAACTGCTAAACTACTTGAAAGTCCAGTGACCTAACCATTACACCATCTGCTGTTCCTGGGCCAGGAATTTTTCCACATTATTATAACCCTGTGGTGAAAACGTAGTACAGATTTGTGGTTAAATCTTCAGCATATCCATGATTATTTCCTCAGGATAAGATTCTAAAAATATAATTGTTGGATAAAAGAATATATAGAATTTAAAGTTTTTCTGATACACAGGGAAACACCTATGACATATAAAAAGCATACCTTTTACAAAAGTATATTATAGCTGGGAGACCAGCAGTTGGTGTAATGGCTATGTCGCTGAACTCCCATGTAGTCAACGGTGGTTTGAGTCCCGGACCCGGTGGTTTAAACTCATGCCGGTTGTGCATATGTACCCAAGATCCGGAGAAGAGAATGGAGAAGGGACTGTGGCGTGGCCAACCCCCTGGGGGGTTATTTATTGCTTTCTGACTGTCTCTGTCTTTTGGGCGAGTGCAGGCGTCCTATAACAAAAGCCTCTCAAAAAGTAAAATAAAAAAACAAAAAATATATTATAGCAAATTACCTTCTCTTGTTGCAAAACTGAACTAATTTGAAATTCTTTTTGTTGTAGTTTTTCATTTTCTTGTTTTTCAAGAATCAACTTTTGTTTTAAGTTTTGCATCTCGGTATTTAAAGTTTCATCTCGTTCTCTATCCTTGCTGATGAGGTCTTCTACCAAAGGAAAAATATTAAAAACTCTGTAAGTAGATACTAAGATTAACTTTGAGAAATTAAAATTATCGTAATATTTCATTTTACTGCTTTTAGTATGTTAAACAGATCCCTCCAGAAAACGAATAAAACTGTGAAGATTGTATCATTAGTCTACTAAAGGTATATTATTGTGTGTTAGTTCTAATTAATTTATCTACCAATTTTAAATTTTCATACAGGAGAAGTCAAGAACTGCAAACTATAAATATTTTGATCAAGAAAAGCAATATCTTAAAATAAACAGAGAACAAGCATAAAAGAATAAAAAGAATTAAAAAATTTCAAATATTGAATAGGGTATTTAATTGTGTAATTATTAAAAAGTTGTTTTGACACAGCAGTAATTTTCTTAAACGTTGTTTGCTGCACTCATCTAATGGAAGAATCTACAGGCTCTATATACCTTTTTCTTTTTCAAGCAGCTGACATTTAGCACTCAGGTCTTCTACTTGTTTAGACAACATAACATTTTCTTCAAGTGACTGCTTAAGGCTTACAATTTCATGATTCTTCTCTTTCAAATTTTCTTCTAACTGGGCAATATCTAGCTTGTATTTTTCCACTTGATCTGATGCACAACTGTATTAAAACAAAGTATTTTGAAAAACACATCTGTTTTAAGTACAAGGAACAATTAACAGAAAAATGATGAAAATGATGTATTCATCAGTATTTAAATAAAAGAAGGTCCAATTTAAAGGTACTGTTCATATTACCTAATTTCTTGAATGTATTCTAAGAGTTTTTCTGTTTCAGATTTTTCATCAAACTTCTCTTTCTCTATTGAAACACTAAAAAAAAAAAAGCATATATTAGTACATCTTTTTAAAAAAATATTTTATTTAATTGTATCCATTTATTTAATTATTTATTTTCACTTTGACGAGAGAGGGACAGAGTGACAGAGGAATAGAGAAAATTCAAAAGCAAGCCATCAGGTCTGGGACTCAAACCACGATCTAGGGAGTCTAGGGCCCTTAACAACCATGCCACCTGCTGGCTCCTGTATCTTTGTTTTTTAAAAATAATTATCCATAATGCTTACTAGATACCAAATGTGTTATTAGATAGGCTGACTCCAAACTCTTAGTCATCATTTTATGTGGCCTCTCATTTTATATTGACAATTTATATGCATAGAAGATTAAAGTTTTTATTTAAATAAAAAAACTTCCTGAACATATTCTGATAAAGAGTTATGTCAGAAATAATCTTTTTTTGGTAATTTCCTGCCCCCCCATACTAAATCTCTAAATCTTTGTCTCAGGCTGCCTGATATTCAATTATTTAGTGTTTACCTCCTTGAAACAATCTAATTGAGAAATTGGACAAGAGACTTAAAAAGGCACCTTACAAAAACAGATAAACATTGATAATAACAGCAACAAATTTAAAGCCTAAATGAGGTACCACTTATAGCCACTAGAAAGGTTACAAACAGACAACATTCAATTGGTGTAAGAATACAACTGAAACTAACATACATAGTGAGAGTATAAAATGGTACAGCCATTCTGAGGTTTTTTAAATGTTATACACACTACCCTATGAGTAAGGAATTTTGCTCCTACGTATTTATGCAAGAGAAAGAAAAACAAATGCCCCCTCACAAAAAACATACAACATGTTCATAATGATCTTATTTATAATAGTGAGCAACTAGAAACAGCCCCCCAAAAATAATCAAAAGGAGATAAGTAAACAAATGGAGGTATATCCATATAATGGAAAACTAGTCTGACATAAAAAGGAAAATAATTATATAACTGTTTGGATGCATCCTGAAAAATTATGTCAACCTGAAAAAACTTCCCCAAGCCTTCCCTCGCTTGTTGCCATAAACATCCCAACAAAGGCAAAACTAATTTATGATCATGAAAGTCAGAAAGCAATTGTGGGGGTGGGGAGTATTATACAAAATGGGACATGAAGACCCTCCTGAAGGTATGGAAATGGTCTCTGTCTTGTTTGGCTAATGGTTACATAGGTGTGTACATTTGTCAAAAGTCATCAAACTGAATATTTATAACTTATGCATTTTATCATATGCAAATTACAGCATTAATAAAAAGGCTACAATTATGCATTAATCAGTTTCCTGTATTTGCATTTCTCCATTTTGGTTGGACCACTACCTCCATGAGATTACAGGGTTATTATACAAAGGTTAGGAGATCTTTCTTCATCATCATTACAGAAAATGTACAGAAGTAATACATTTATTCATTCTAGCAACAATGTTTGGGAATGATTAGAGCTTATGTATCACTTAGAGAAACAGGGCAATTAAAGAGAGGGGATAAGTTAAAGATTAACATCTTGGATCAGCAGGTGGCATGGTGGTTCAGGGTGCTGGACTCCCACATGGCCTACCAGGAATCGAGTCCTGGACCTGGCAGCTTGCTTTCTTACTTTCCCTCCCCTCCCCCTATCCCTCTCTGGTCAAATTAAAATAAATAAATAAAGTTAAATTAAAAAAAAAAAAAAAAAGGTTAAAGCCTCAGTAAACAATAACTTGCCGAGAGAGGCAAAGCCATGACTGGTGACACGTAATCATTTTTCTTTCCTTTCAGTCACTTACAGTTTCCCCTCAAGCTGTGTTACTTTCCCCTGGGATTCTTCCCGATTCTTCTGAGTGACCTGCGGTTTCGTCTCCATGCCTTCTTGTTTAGCCATCATACTCTACACAACAGATAGGAAGTGAAAAATTGTTCAGATCCTCTGATCCTGACATGGCAAACTTACCAAAGGGAGTACTCACCCTTATCTTTGCTTCTCTTTTGCTTCTTAGTTTCATCAACTCCAGGCTTAGAATTCTTATATGCTTCTGGTTTCCATCCTCAGAAAACTAAGTACAACAAACATGTACCAAAAAATTCAGAAATAAATTCTGCTAAGTCACATCCAAAATAGACTTAGTTTCTGATTATTCTACCTATCATTGAGGGCTATTATTTGCCTGCAATATACTTGGGTAGAGAAAATAGCCTTCAAGTGACATCGCAATTACTGCTTGTACAACACTACAGTTCTTGTCTTTCCAAGGTATCATAGGTAGTCACTTAACGATATGCTGGAACATCCATTGCAAGGCTCTACAGCCCGTTAAGAGAGAATTTCTTGAGTTGTGTTTCCTTTTTTGGGGGGGAGGAGAGGTTTTTGCTATAGGGAGCATGTGCTCACCAGAAAGACAGAGAGAGACAGAGAGACAGAAAGCGAGAAATCACCCCCAGGGGGGATGGCCACACTGCAATCCCTTCTCCTCTATTCTCCTCTCTGGATCTTGGGCACACATGCACACGCACCTGGTGTGAGTTTAAGCCACCGGGTCCGGGATTCGAACTGTGGTCAACCACGTGGGAGTCTAGTGACATAGCTATTACACCAACTGCTGGTCCCAGGTTATGTTTCCTTAACAAAATGAATCTAAATCTCCTGGTATATTTTGAAAAAATGCAGTCTACAGGGTCCCTTGCAGGCCTGCTAAATCAGAATCACCCTGAGTGGGGCTCTCCTCCTCATGCTTGATTTGAATGCACTCTTACCCCGTTTGTAAGCAAAGAGCTCGGCACACTACAGTTTCTGAAGAAATGATTCTTGAAACTGAACAGTGATTTATATCACCCCTCTACTCCTGTAACACACAGCACACCCATGTTAAGCCCTTTAGGATACATGAGTGAATTAAAACTGAATAAACACAATCTGAATAAACACAATTTATCTGCTGAACACATTTAGTTCATCATCTATTCATTTGCTGCTTCATTCCCAAAAGGATTTGAGATGGATACTTGCTGTCATTCTATTATTTATGTCAGAGAAAGATTTTGCTGTCATTCTATTATTTATGTCAGAGAAAGATTTTAAAGTGGTTTTCAGATGTAAATTCTGTAATTTCTATAATTTTCTATTAATGATTTTTTTTTACTAGGGGTCTTGAGTGGCAATAAAATGTCAGATATCAAAACAAAAAGTAAACTGTAGGAGCCAGCAGGTGGCACGGTGGTTGAGGTGCTGGATCCCACATGGCCAACTCTGCTGCTCCAGTCCCAGCCCCAGTGGCTTGAAAAACATACCAGCCACATGTGCAGGAGTTCCTAAAAATCACAGGAGGAGAATGGAGAAGGGACTGCAGCACAGCCATCCCCTCCAGGGGGTGATTTCTCACTTTCCCTATCTCTGCCTCTCTCTGGCAAATGCATACTACAGGGAAAAAATTTTTTAAATCTTAAAAAAAAAAAAAGTAAACTATACAACCTTTTATGTGCCAGGTATCACAATAAAAACCATATAATTTCTTTTTTTTAAAGAATTACTTTTGACTTTATTTATTATTATTATCATTGTTATTTTCCAGTTTGATCAGAGAGAGACAGAGAGAGAGAGAGGAAGTGAGAAAGCAAGCCACCAGGTCCGAGACTTGAACCATGGTCGGCCATGTGGGAGTCCAGCGCCCTTAACTACCATGCCACTTGCCAGCCTCAAAACCATATAATTTCTATATAAAGCAACTTAACATTTAATATTTACCACAGCCTAACATTTCCGATTAACTGTAATGAGAAAAACAAAAACATGTTTATTATTTATCCAATGGTAAAAGCTAACATGAGTTTCAAATACCTTAGATTTGAGTAGTTCATTAGTCCTGTTTAATTCAATAAGTTGTTTTTCCAGGGAAGCATTATTTGCAGAGAGAGATGTTTTTTCCCTGACAGCAGCATTTAACTTCGCCTCTACCTTCTCCAACTCAGTTTCCAGATCCTGAATTCGCTTGTCCTGAGTGCCACGTTCTTGCACAAGAACACGAATCTGGAAGAAAACATAATGACAAAAAACTGACAGGACAACAGGTAGTGAATCTAACTAAACCTCCTGGTGTATATTTTTATTTTTCCTAGTGTAATCTGACGGCATGGAAGTTACGGCATTGGATCCTACATGGCTGACAGCTCAGTTGGAGTCTCAGACCCAGACAAGGTGGCTTGAAAAATCATGCCGGCACATGTCCAGGCATGCCCAAAAATCCCAAGAAGAGAATGGAGGAGAAGGGATTGCAACATGGCCATCCCTCTGGGGGTTGATTTTTCACTTTCTCCCAGCCTTCTTTCTCACAACAGCAAGATCCTGTCAAAAACAGCTATCTCTCTCTCTCTCTCTGTGGCTCTGCACACATCCCCTATCCTGTTCCCATATACTCTATCAGTAAAAAGAAAACAAATGAAGACCAGCAGGTAGTATGGTGGTTAAGGTGCTGGACTCCCATATGGCTGACTGTGGTTTGAGTGCTGGACCTGGCAGCTTGAAATCATGCTGGGCATGTATGCGTGTGCCCAGAATTTCTGCAGTAAGCACACATGCCTGGTAGCAAACATTCTTAAAAGCAAAACTAAAACGAAAAAAAAAAAATCATAGAATTTAAGGCAGAAAATATTCTGTAGTGATAAAAAGATACAAAGGTCAAACAAGAAAAAGACATGATATTAAATTTGTTTTACCCCTTATACCATAACTTCCAAATCACATAGCAGGGACCAGATGGATATGTAGAAGTTAAATATGACTTCATGAGACAGCCCTGTGTAGGAAGGTTCTCAGTTTAAGCCTGAAAACCTCCCTAAGAATACCAGGTACATATGCTTGTTCATGATCTGAGACTGCCTGAAGGCTAGGGTAGATTATACCATTAATAACCTGTTTGGGCGCTCTCACTTACGTGCTTGCACATATATATTTCTTTCATTTATTTAAGGTTTCTTCCATAGGGTACATGCACTTACTGGAGAGAGAGAGAAATCACTCCCTAAGGGGGATGGCCACACTGCAATCCCTTCTCCTCCATTCTCCTCTCAGGCTTTTGGTCACTCACACACATGTGTCCAGTGTGATTTTCAAGACCCTGGGTCCAGGACTCAAACTGCAGTTGGCCATGTGGGAATCCAGTGTCTTAGCTACCACACCACCTGCTGGCTCCAAAAGAAATATTGGGTTGGGCCAGGTAGGTGGCACAGCGGTTAAGGGCACTGGACTTCCACATGGCTGACTGTGGTTTGAGTCCCAGGCCTGGTAACTTGCTTTCTCACTCCCCACACCCCCCCTTCTTGCTCTGTCCCTCGAAAGAAAGGAAGAGGATAAAAGAGAGAGAGGGAGGCAGGGAGAGAGAAAAAGAGAAAAAAAAGACAGACAGGCAGAAAGACAGACAGAAAAACAGAAAGAAAGTTAAATAAAAATAATTCTTTAATTAAAAGAGAAAAGAAATATTGGGTCATAGGAAAAGTCATGACACATTTTACATAGAAAAACATGGAAAAAAAATACATTATGACTTTTCTGACCACTCAATATATTTTAAAGAAAAAATGTGTGTGTGTGTGTGTGTGTGTGTGTGTGTCTGTATGTAACAAAAATCAACAGAACCAAAAGGAGAATAGATTAATCTAGAATTAGAAATTTAAAACACTCATCTCAGTAACTGATAGCATAATAAACAAAAATATCAGTACAGATAAAGACTTGAACAAAATTATTAACTAACTTAAATTTCAAGTGACATATATAGATCGTTATATCGAACAAGTGAACATACATTCCTTACTACTGCATACAGAATAAGTACTAAAATAGATTACTGTCTGGATATAAAGCCACTATCAGGAAAGCACAGCCGTAAATCACATGGAAAGTAGTTTATGCTTTTATTGACTTTGCCTTCATACCAGCCTCAGTATTTTAAGCCCACACTGCTTAACTAAAAATATATCAATTATCAGTCTACATATAAAGCTTTAAACTGGATGGTAAGATAGTTTGAAAAAGCTTTCTCTATGCTTATATTATTGGTTTATAACCGGTGCTCACAGCATAGTATTAAAAAGTAGAAAAAAAATCTTGAAATGATCTCCATCACATTTTTCATTTTGCAGTTAAAGAAGCTTTAGCTCCAAAAAAAGAGTGTGTAAACTCCAATGCCTCCATGGCCAAGCAGATTTTATATATATGAGTGAACAGAGCCAGGTGAGGGCTGAAGCGCGATGTGCTCTTGAGGGAGGTGGCCACGGCAGCCAGAGCAGACTGAGCCTTGGAGAGCAATGCAGAAACGCCTCGTGCAGACCTGGTTTCGCAACCGAAGTTAGAAATGTGAACTTGCTGTGTGTGACTTTTTACTTTAAAATATTAACAACGAATTCAAGCTAAACAAGCAACGAACACTGGCAGTTTAAATAAAATAGAGCTTTATGTTGCCAAATATCTCTATTCTAAAAAATTAAGTAACCAATGTAAATTATCGGTTCTACTTCTGTCTCTGCCGCTCACTCACCAGCTATCTCGCTGAGGCTCAGATATCACATCACTAAGTATCCTATCACTGGGCATGTCTCTTATGTGAAATAACAGCCAATATTATTAAAATACATGCAAAAGCATCAGAGCAACTACGTAGAGATTTGCACTTATCTCGACATATTCTTGTTCTTAAGCTGATATTTGACTATTATCAAATAAAAGGTTTTAATATTTCAAAAGCTCATGTCTAACAGAAGAGTTGACTAGCAATGAGAATACATTAAAAAGATTGTCAGATAAGCAAAGTTGGCAGTGAGCAGCTTGACGCTGTGTAGGAATGTAGGTGAGTTCTCTAGGGCAGCACTGCTCAATAGATAACTTTCTCGTTAGTTTATAAGCCAGAGGGTGTGCACTCACCAGAGAGAGATAGGATAGAAAGAAAGCACCCTCCATGGGGCATGGTGTCACAGCAATCCTTTCTCCTTCATTTCTCCATCTTGTTGGATTTTGCACACACGTGCACCCAGCACGTTTTGCAAGTTGCCGGGGCCAAGACGGGAAGCACCAGTTGGCTAACGTGGGATGCAGCTCCCTAACCACCAGGCCATGTGACTAGCCTTGCTCAATAGATATTTCTACAATGGTAGAAATGATCTGTCCAGTGTGGTCTACTCACCATAAGTGGTTACTGAACAGCTGAAATGTTATTAATGAGAAACTGAGTTTTTAATTTTATTTAATCTCATTTAAATAGGTACATGTGGTGAGTGGCTATCATTTTCAAGAGAATTGCTCCATTTCATTCTTTTCTTTTCTTTTTTTGGTGGGGGGCTATAGGGCATGTACTTACTGGAGAGACAGAAAAATACAGAGAGACAGAAAGCGAGAAATAACCTTCTCTAGGGGGATGGTCACACCAAAATCCCTTTTCTTCCATTCTCCTTTCAAGATTTGGGGTACACCTGTATATTCACCTGGCCTGAGTTTCAAGTTCCCAGATCTGGGACTTGAGTCACAGTCAACTGCGTGTTAGTCCAGCACCTTAACTACTATGCTACCTGCTGGCTCCAGTTATTTCATTCTTGAGGAAGGCATATATCTACAGTGAAGAGCACACATTTACTTAGCATAACTTCATCACAATCTAACTAACCAGATAGGGTTGCATGCTCAATAAACAATTCTCTAGCTGTGTTGCCTTAACATAAATTAGGATACAGAGTATGTGTTATGAGTAAATATAAGTATTTTATCTACATATTTGTAGTAAAATAAACAATTATTTTTAGTTATTGGTTTCTCAGGAAGTAGGTTATCTTTTTAAGTTTATTTTATTAATGTTAGAGAGGGCATGCATGCACATGCTTAAGTAGAGAAATAGGGAGAGGGGAGGAGAGAGAAGCACCCTTGATGGGTTCTGATCATGTTGTAATCCCCTTCCTCTAACCCTGCAGCTTGTCCAGATCTGGGGCACCTGGCATGTTTCAGGTAGACTGAGTGGGGATCTAAACCAGCGGCCATTCATGTAACTTGCAGGACTGAAGTCCAGTGTGCTATGGACCATGCCATCTTGGCTGGGGCCCATTTAGGACTCCTCAAACTGCAACAGAATCCCTCTTAATGCTATGCCACTCTCTACTAGACAGCACATTTAATTTTTAATAAGTCAAAAGTTTGACTCACCTCTTTTTCTAATATCTTCAAATCTTTATCGTTCTTTTGAGATTCTTTCTGTTTAAAAGTCAAAGAATAATTATGAACAAATTTAAATACTCCAGATATTACAACCAATTTTTATTTTTGGTTATTAGGAAAGATTAAGGGTTCTAAATAGTTAATTATATTTTAAACACTACACTGAGTCAACTAAACATTTTGTAGGTCATTTATCTGTAGGTAAATGAAGGACAAGTTTCTTTAAAATCTCAAAATATATCGGGACCAGCAGTTGGTGTAATGGCTAGGTCGCTGGACTCCCATGTAGTAGACCACAGTTCAAGTCCCAGACCTGGTGGCTTAAAGTCACACCAGGCACATGTGCGTGCGTGCATGCATACCCAAGATCCTATGAGGAGAATGGGAAAATGGAGGAGAAGGGATTGCAGCATGGCCATCCCCCCTGGGGTGTGATTTCTTGCTTTTTGTCTCTGTCTTTCTGGCAAGTGCTTATGCCCTATAGCAAAAACCTCTCAAAAAAAAAATTTTTTTCCAAAATATTTCAGGTTTAAAAAATTTTCAGACCAACAGATCTGGCTCTTTCTAAAAAGCCTAATGAAAAGAGCAGGTAGAGCTTTATAAATAAAGCTACTGACTATCTCCCTCCTAATGTAAAACAACAACACATTTTGAATATTTAATTATGCTATCTTAGAAAGAAAATAATCTTACAAAGAGAAAGTGACTTAGACTTCCAGGTCAAGAGAAACATACAGAAAATTAAAGAAAAAATATTAGTATAAGCTCTGGTTCAAATCTTCTCATTGCTTTTTTCCTAAAGACATATAATTTTCACACTGCCTCTTTTTTAAAAATCCAACCACCTTCCTGGGACAATGGCAAAAAACAGAGCATCTATCTATCTGTTTCATCTAAAAAATGGAAGAAAATGAGTAATTATCTTAAAGAATTTTTTTTTTTAAATGTTTAGAGAACATGTGCACTTACCAGAGACAGAGAGAGGGAAAAAGCACCTCCCAACATGGCATGGTCAGTCTACAATCACTTCCCCTCCATTTCTCTATCTTGTCAGGATGTGGGATACACATGTGCATGGACTCAGTGGTGTGTTTTTCAAGCCATTGGTGCTGGGATTCAAACCACACAGTGAGCCATGTGGGATCTGGCTGCCTTAACCACCAGGCCACGGAGTCAATACAAAGTATATCTCTATGTTAAAGGAGGGTCATGACAGTCTCATATTTATTCATTTCATACCCAATGGTATTTTCTGTTAAGGAAGATCTATTATTTGGGGGTTTTACACAAACCTGTATGTAACTTAGTTTTGTCAGGTTAATGAATTCTATAATTAATTCAAATTTTCAGAACTGAATCTTCGAGAAATTCAGTTAAGCCTTTTATATCAATTTCAAAGGAAAAGAATGTCTATACGATTGCTACCTGATAAAAATTTAATGCAAGCCACATATGTATTTTTAAATCCTCTAGTAATATTTACAATGTAGACATTTTAATAATATATTTTACTTAAGCCAATATATCAAATACATCATTTCAATAAGTCGTGAACATAAAATTACTTAGATTTTATGTTTTTTTGTACTAAGTCTTCAAACCTTGCCATGTATTTTATTCTTTCAGCATATTCCAATTCCAATGTTAAATTTTCAACAGGAATATTTATTATAGATTTCATAAAACCTACAGATGAAAAAGTAGATTCAATATCTAAGTTGTTCCAAAACCATTTAAATGTCTAAATAACAGAATCAAGTATGTTTAAAAATGTACAGCAAGTAAAATTAAATAATAATGCCTTAAGAAAATACTTGCTTACTTATAATCTAATGAAAAAAGCACCATTTGGTTCTTGCACAAGCCATAACATAAAGCTATTAAGAATTTTATCGGGAACCAGCAGTTAGCGTAATGGCTATGTCGCTGGATTCCCACGTAGTCGACTGCAGTTCGTGTCCCAGACCCGGTGGCTTCTCTCAAAAATAAATAAATAAATAAATAAATAAAAATAAAAAATAAAAAAAATTAAAAAAAAAAAAGAATTTTATCTACTTGGCCAGTTGGTGGCATGGTACTTAAAGCAGCTAGAGCTCACAAGGCTGACTACAGGGTTTGAGTACTGGACCTGACGGCTTGAAAACACACAGGGTGTGTAGGCATGTGTGCCCATAATCATGAGATGAAAATGGAGAAGGGATTATGGCATGGCCATCCCTCCAGGGTGCGATTTTTTCACTTTCCCTCTCTCTTCCTCTGTTTCTCTCCAGCAAGCATACTTTCCCTATAGCAAAAAATAAGTAAATTTTATCTCCCACCATGCCTGGGCAGTTTCGGAGTAGCAAACCTGTTAGGCTTTAAATATTTTTTCCTTGTATTTATGAATATGTACTCTTCCCCATACAAACAAACAAAACCAAAACAACTCAATTGATGGTACCTAACAAATCAAAACATGACATAATTTTTAAAGGCTTATTAGGTAATGTAAAATTTATCCAGACAGAGACATGACTGAGAAGCGGAGATTATTTTATAATTATGAAATAAGGGCACAGTGAAATATATTTAGAATGACCTAGGCAGAAATGTAAAACTTGCTAGTACTAATGGTAACTTATTTTATTAATTTATAAATATACTTAAAAATAACCTGCACATACACACTCAATCCATCTAATATCTTTCAGTTATTTTTTCACTAATAGAGTTCATAAGCCAGTGAGCATATAAAAGTTCCTCACCTTTAATCCTGAAGTCTTAACTTTTCTAGCTGAGGCAGGCAAAACAGTTTCTTTGTCCACAGTAAGATTTTGTTGTACTTCTGCAGAAAAACCAATTGTACAGATTAAGATTGGTGTTTATAGTTTTAACAACATATGATAACTAATTTCCAAATACTTTATTACAACTCTTAATGAAGTAATATATTGATAGCCAATTCTTGTTTTGCCTATACATGTCCAAATACTTAGTTCCACAATATTTTTTACATATCTAATGCCTTTTTTATTTTCCTAACATTCTCTGACAGAAAGCTTAAGGTACTTATCAAGAGGTTGTAGCTAAATATTGCTTTATTTTCCTGGCTATTCAACAGTGTTACACTGTTGAGAAGGTATCATCCTTTACCATTTCATAAACCCATCCAAAAACACTTAAATATAGCTCTACCTTTACCTTTTTAGAAATGTTATATAGTATCTTTAAATTTAAGTACTATTATTCATACCTGTGATACTTATGAAATCATATAAACATTGTTTTCCTGAGACACATTACCTTTTTTTAAAAGAATTATTTTATTTAACTTTATTTTATTTATTTACTTATTTTAATTTGACTAGAGAGGGACAGAGTGAATGAGAGAGAGAGGTTAAGTGAGAAAGCAAGCTGCCAGATCTGGGACTCGAACCACAGTCAGTCACGTGGGAGTTCAGCCCTTTACCACCATATCATCTGTCTGCCCCAAGATTCATTACCTTTTTCCTTTTTAAATCTTTGTGACTTTTGGAAAGATACTGGTCCTTTCAATACTTCTGAAGTTTTAACATCATAAGCACCTGGAGATGGTGCACAACCTAGAGAAAACATCAGATATTAAGTACTTTTGTAAAAAAAATGTATTCTTGATTAGAGTACATGTGTACGCATGAGAGAGAGAGAAAAGCATCCTTGACAGGGTCTTGTCATGACACTGTTCCCTTTCCCCAGTCCTGCAGCTTTTCAGGATCTTGGGGATGTAGACACACACTGGTGCGTTTTCATGCCAGTCTGGGCGTCCAAATCCCCAGTTGGTCAGTGGTTTCCATCACCATAGTTCAGTTTGCTACTGATCGTGCCACCAGGTTGGGCCCCTAAAACATTAATGTATCACCTGATATTATTTATAACCTTAAGTTAACATTCATAACAAAGTGAATTTAAGTTTAAAAATGTCATTAATAACCTATTCTTTACTTTTTTAAATGTACAAATAGCAACCGTTTGCTATTATAAAGAAGGGTTTTCTATGAAGAACGATATTACTATCTAGCCATTGATATCAATTGGATGGAAGGGACACAAGCAGCTGAGCAAAACAGTAAAGAGAGTTTGGGGATGACCACTGTTAACAAGCAGCTTGGCTTTGTTATTAATGTCTGAATGCAAGAAATAAGATATTTGGTGTCAATTCTATTCAAAGAGAGTCACAGAGGTACCTATCATCAGTGTCTACAAATAAAGCAATGAAAACTGCCTACTCCTTGAGATTCAGTCTGAAAGAAAATTTACAGTGATAATCCACCTCTGGCTAAAGTCAATGATTAGACCTACTGATGAATTCCAACTGCAGATCTGAATGCGCAGAAAAAAAAAAAAATCAGTGTACGAGCACATTAAATACCAGGCTTTATGCTAAGCATTATATACATACTATTTTATTTAATCACAATAACACCATACAACTTACAGATAAGGGAGGTGAAGTTTAGGAAATTTATAAAGCCATGTTGTGCAAAGTACAAACTGTACTAGACGAATTTTTATCTTCCAGGAGTTTATACCGTATAAACCCATTCAGCTGTTTACTTCAGTATAGTGCTATGGGCAAACAAGTAGGAATGGTGAGGGCTTTCACCATTACAAAGCAACTACTACTGTCTCCTACATGTTTGTCAAAAGGGATTCATTAGTAGATACCGACTCACACTGGGATACAGTTTAAAAATGTTAAAGCTGGTGCTTGTATCTATTCTAATAAAATAAAAATTCATAAAAATTCTACTAACAGTTTCCAAGGGAGAGACAGTAGCATAGTAGCAAAACATGACATTCTGCAAGGCTGACCCACATGTCCAGGTTCTGATTCATATCCACACACTTCCCTGAGTACACAGGAAACATGTGCCCATGACCTCGCTGAGGCTGGCAGTGCATCACCGTGTTAAGACCCTGTGCTATCTGTCTCTCTCACTTATGGAAGAAATAAATAAAAATGAAACTTAAAATAATATAGAGAATAACTTTCATTCTTCTACCTGGAAAAATGAACATTTAAACGGACGAACTGTGGGAAAAGGCTCCAATTATGGGAGCCTTCAAGTCTAAATGTGGTAAAGGGTAGAGGCAAATGATTTCTAACCAAGGAGAGTCTCAAACTGAAGTGTAGACTTTACTGGGGAGGTAAAGGCAGGCTTTGCAAAAAGCATTATTTCTGGCTAACTCAGATTTCCCACACCTCAGACATTTATACCCCAGGGCAAAGAGTGAGGTGACAGGGATTCCCTGAATCAGGCAGAATGTGGCGCATCTTAGAGCACCTATTATTCATTTGGGTACAGGTGGAGAGGTAATGGAAGACATAATGTATTATAAAACAAACAGGAGGCTTAGGAGAAAGCTGTCACCACTACTGGTAGTGACACTATTTTGGGGTAAGAGGGGATGGGTGAATGCAGAACCTATGGTTATTTTCCCATGCTCTCTGTTCTCAGAAATGCTTCTGTGGAAAAAAGTGAGAAGCCCTGCTCTAGACTTGGCAAGCAATCAGAAAACAACAAAGTTGAAATCTAGCATTCTAGTCCATCAGTGGGTCCACACTCTCCAAGGAGATAAGGACCAGCAAAAGATGGGAAGCGGACTATGACCAAGCAGCATATTCAACTGAGAACAGACCATACTTAACAAAATCTCTTCTTTAAAGACTTTAAAGGGTCAAATGCAATAGAAAAGGGGATTTGTGGATCCATAAAGAACTAGGTTGAAATCCAGCCCATGTACTTATTGACACAACCAGACTATGGCAATGCTCTTTTCATGCTCTATATTTTCCTCACACACTTACATGTACTATTGGGTTGTTGGAAAAGTCATGCTGCATTTTTACACAGGAAAACATAGAAGAAAAAAACATGTTATGAATTTTCCAACATCCCAATGCATCATAGCTATGACTTGTTAGAAATGCGGGAAGTGGGAACATGAGACAAAAGGAAGAGCTATCTCGGGAGATACCACAGGCTTTCTGGAGCAACTTACATCTTCATCAATAATGTTCTAAAGCTAACTCCAGCAGTTAAGACCTGTTTGCAAACAAAACATTTTATGTACTACATTAGGTAGATGCATAAAACTTCCAGACTTTGGCATTTTCTATTTTTTCCTTTCAGACTCAACAGTCTACCTTCCCTTCTGCCTGGTTAATTCTGATGTATCTTTCAGATTTCAGGCCAGATGTCACTTCTTTTAGTTTTCCTTGAATCACCAGATGAGGCTAGAAAATTCCTTCCATAGCAAATTGTGCATATTGTTCAATAATAGAAATCTTGCCACTTTGGAATGATTGATCTACTTACTTACTTACTTACCCATCTTCCACATTAGACAAAACTGCTTAAAGTTAGGAAGTGTCATAATCATGTCTATATTCCCAGTATTTTAGTTCACAATTGAGTTTAGCAGAAAGGAATAGAAAAAATAGAAAGGGGACCAGCAGATGGCGTAATGGTTCCATCAGTGGACTCCCAAGACCATGGTTTGAGTCCCAGAACCAGTGGCTTAAAATTCATGCTAGGCGTATGTGCATGTGTGTCCAAGATCCCAAGGGGAAAATGGAGAAGGAATTGCGACATGGTCATCTCCCGTGGGGATAATTTCTTGCTTTCTGTCTCTTTGGTGAGCACATGTGCCCTATAGCAAATATCATGCACAAACAAAACAAAACACATTATACTCTCATTTTTTTCCAGTCAATTTTAAGATCCCGGGGGCTTATTTCTATCTGAGGCTCAGATTCTTCAGAAACTGGAGTAGAAAAAAAAAATCATAATCACAGTATGATTATGATCATTACTGGAATAATATGAGAAAACATCCCAGTGCCTCACACAAATTAACTATCAAATGAATAACTGCTATTATTTCTGAAACTGTGAGCTTGAAATACTTTAAAGTTGGTAAAGCTGGTTTAATCTATTATAATATAAATAAAAATCTTCCTTAGAAACACACACCTAACAGAATTTAAAGCAGGTTGTTGGAATAACTTGTAAATAATATGGTTCTTGAGACTGTTAGTTCAGAAAAAGAGACTGCAGGTTCACATGGCCATCTTTTATTAGCAGATGGTGCATATTTCCATCACATGGTGGCTAATAAAGATGTTAAGAAGTACCATTACGTAGTGTATATTACAATGTTAAATCTTGAGTTTTGATGTTAGGCGCTCCCACTTGCTGGCTCAATATAGTAACAAAAGGCCTCAGTTTTTTCAGCTCTTAAATGAGGACAGTATGAGTACCTTCCTCACCTGGCTGTAGAAAGAAAAAAGTGAAGACCTTAGCAGTTCCAAGACACAGACAGCATCTACTAAATGACTAGTGCCTACCGCTCTTTATTTTGGATATTGTGCTTATGCACTGCAGTGGTTACAGCACAGAATGGACTCATGGTTCATGCTCCAGTTCTGCTGAGTTGGTTGTTGATACTGAACGAATTTAAGTCTCGGTCATTTTTTTTTTTTTAACAAAACAAACAATAAATACTAAGATTATCGCTTAGAGTTGTTGGAAGACTTGAAAAAAAAAGAATGAATAATCAATGTTAAGGATTTAGTGAGGTGTCTGGGGTATATAAATGGTCAATATTAATTAGTCCAATTACTTCGTTCACAGTGCTTTCAATAAAGCTACTGCTATACATTTTACACCCATAAACTGCTTTTTATCAGTTTTCCTTCTTTTATGTACGAATGAAATAAGGAAACGAAATCCACAAATTTAGATGAAAATCACACGCAAATGTTTTCATCAGAGGACTTCCTGATTTTGTCTACTCAACATCTACAAATACTTCCCCTATCTCCTTTTCCTTCATCACGCTTTAGTTTCTGCATCGGGCTAAAAGTTTAGTCAGTCTTCTCCACCTGAATGCACGTTCCATGGGGTAGGAGCTCTGTTTCACTCACTGTCGAATCGTTAGCATGCTGAATAGTGATGGCATGTTGTAGATGCTCAGTACATATTTGAGGAAAATGAATCAACTGCATGAGCCCCAGTTCCGCCCTAAAACCGCCTGTTTGCCTCAGATGAAGGAACCTACAGGGGTATGGGCCGTGAAAGCGTCTCCCGTCCCCAAACTCCTTTCCCCGTACGCACCAGAAGGGTCATTGAATCGTTTCAGGGGTGCCTTAGGGAAGGACATGCTGACGGCCAGCTCCAGAAAACGAAGGTCACCGGCACTCCCCGGCAACTGCCAGCATATTATTACTGTTTATTCCTTCCAAATTCAAATCTCTCCACTCCCCACCCGCCTCGAAGCTAGCCAATTGAAAAACAAAGACCCTGGGGCAAACCAATCGGAACGGGGACACTAATACCGCATGCGCACTGAGTTCTCGCTGCGTCCAATGAAGTAGCCTGTGAGTTTAGACTACTACTAGGAGACCGCTACTGGTCCTTACTCCCAGCCAATCATTTCTGTCGTTACTCAATTGTTACGTCTGCACTAGGAACATCCGCGCAAGCGCACTTCCCAACTGAGATGTTTATGATAGTCTCTATTTTGACGTCATACAGGTGAGGATATAGGGAGTTCTTCTGTTTCCAGACCTCTCCCATCGGTCCGTGAACGTAAACTTTTATGGATTCCAGTTCTTTCAAATCCGCCGTTACAAACGTCCTAAATGGCCACAAAAAAAGAAAATATGCATACACGCTTAGACCTGCACTTGTGATTCTGCGCATGTGCAGTGACCTAAGCGAAAGGGCGGGGGTGTGGTCTGAGCGTGGGGATCGCGCCTGCGCTCGGCTCGCTTGGTGCGGCTGGTACCGCTGCCGGGAGTCACTTGGAGTATGTCGGCCCCCTTTGAGGAACGTAGTGGGGTGGTTCCTTGCGGAACGCCGTGGGGCCAGTGGTACCAGACTCTGGAGGAGGTGTTCATTGAAGTTCAAGTGCCTCCAGGCACTCGTGCGCAGGATATCCAGTGCGGCCTGCAAAGCCGGCATGTGGCGCTGGCCGTGGGTGGCCGCGAGATTCTCAAGGTAGCTGCAGGTCGGGGTTTGTGCTCAGTTTCTTCCCAACCTCCCTAAATCCCCGAGTCTTAGAGCTCTTTTGTCTGTGGAATAGTCGTTTCAGGGGAACGGCACCTCCGACTGGCAGGAAGAAAGAGCGCTGAAATCGCCCTGGTTCTGCTCTGGTTGGAGCCCCCACTCTCAGGACAAGCCCTCAGTTTTGAGAATTCGAAGTGCCCGTTTTCATCTTTATTTTCAAACCTCATTAGCTGCCCCTCTGTTCCTCTACAGGTCTTCAGCTGAGAACAGATGAACTGAATTGGTGAAGGGACCTGTGCTTTCTTCCAGGCACTGATCTATTATAGGTGTACATGTGTTTTGTACATGTGCTTTATTGTACATGTGCTTTCTTCCAGGCACTGATCTATTATAGGTGCCAGGAGTACAGCTAGGCAGGTTCCTATATCCGTGAGGTTCGTTTTTGTAGGGAAGCATAGGACCACCAGGTAGGCAGGTGTGGGAAAATAGAGTAGAAATAAAGGAGAGGATAACAGGTTGTGGATTTGGAGATGATGTCAGCTGATTATTTTCTCAAATAAAATTAGAAAAATCGTGTATGTTTGTGGAGTCATTAAGCAGGTAATGACGTGTATGAAGAAAATAATTAGTACCTCTTTTTTTTTTTTTAAGAGATTTTTGCTGTAGGGCATGTGAACTCGCCAGAAAGAGACAGCGCAAAATCGCCTCGCAATTCCTTCTCCTCCATTCTCCTCTTGGGATCTTGGGCATGCACGCACATGTTCCTGGCGTGCGTTTAAGTCACCGGATCTGGGACTCGGACCCTGGTCGACTACATGGGAGTCCAGCAACATAGCCATTATGCCAACTGCTGGTCCCAGTAACTTTTTTTTATTAATTTCACTAATGTCCTTTTCATCACCTACCTACCTTTTCCTTCAGCCCATAGTTAAATTCAGTTTCAGTTAAGTTGAAATTTGATTACATTCTCAGATATTTTAAGATATTGGAGGGCAGCATACCGGTGAAGGGAGAATACTTGAGATATCTGGCTCTGCCAGTATTCTGAATTTTGTTTTATTTGTTGAGATTTTTTTGCCATAGGTTGTGTGTGCTTGCAGGAGAGAGACAAAGTGAGAAATCACTGCCCAGGAAGGATGGCCACCCTGCAGTCACTTCTCCATTCTCCTCTCCTGATTTTAGACATGCAGGCAACCATACCTGGCATGTTTTTTAGTCCACTGGGTCCAGGACTGGAACTCCCAGAGTCAGCCATGTGGGATCCAGTTCCTTAACCACCACACCACTTGCTGGCTCAGTATTCTGGTTTTTAAACTGTCTGCGAGAGATGAGAATCTCTAAGCCTTCTTCATTACAAGGTCTAGTAATTATAGTATTTTTAGCATATGATTATTTTGAGCATAACATGAGATTCAAGTGAATGAAGGGCTTGGAATAGTGCCTGGTACATAAACTCATACTACATGTTATAGTTTGCTATTATTTTATGTAGAAGTGCTTTGAATGCCTTAGAAGATTAAAGTGAGTGATTTCTGTCAAGTTGGATCACAGTGATCTTTCTGAATATAGTTGTATAGTGCATGGGTGTCTGAAAAATGACTAGGGATTGTAATTTAGATTTATTTTTAGTAATTTCAAACTTGGGCAGTTTAGCAATAACGTTACCTTAACATATACATACCATCCAGTAGAACTTTTTAAACTAGTGCTGGCATTTAAAACAATGTTTCACTTTTTGTGACATTTTAGTTTCATTTAATTTTAATTGCTAGAGGGTGTGTGCACCTGTCAGAAAGAGACCAAAGAGACAGAGATGGAGAGAAACAGAAAAGGAAGCACATCCAGTGGGTCATGCAGTATGTTGGGATCTTGAGCATACACATGTGCCTCCCCATTTTTACCCCCAAGGTGATGGGGTTGGAATTCAAGTCACAGTTGCCAGTTCCCTTAGCTACTAGTCTGTGAGGCTGACCCTAATTCCATTTTGTATAACTTAAATTTGTGCAGCAAATTAACATGCTTTCAAGAGCATGCATTCTCTTTAAAATTTAATTTTGCTTATTTCTTTAAAGATTTCTACATTTTATTTATTTATTTATTTGTTTGTTTGTTTTTTGATTTGACCAGAGAGAGAGAGAAAGTGAGAAAGCAAGATGCCAGGTCCAAGATCTAACTGAGGTCAGCCATGTTGGAGTTCAGCACCTCAGTCACCACACCACTGCCAGCCCCAAAGCTTATTTCTTAAGGCCGGTGTTTAGGAGTCAGATCTACAGTACTTCAAAAAAAATTTCAATGCCAATTGCTCAATAAAGAGATTGAACCAGTTTTCAAAGTTTATTTTAAAAGACAGCCTTTCTGTTTTTAGCAGATCTCTTGTAGTCCATCTTAGTTTTTTGTTTTGCTTTATTTTGTTTTAAGAGGTTTTTGCTATAGGGCACGTGCGCTCCGCTCGCCAGAAAGACAAAAGAGAGAGAGAAAGCAAGAAATCACGCCCCCCAGGGGGGATGGTCACACCACAATCCCTTCTCCTCCATTCTTGTCTTGGGCACGCACAAACAAGTGCCTTGCCTGAGTTTAAGCCACCAGGTCCAGAACTTGAGCCTCTGTCAACTACATGGGAGTTCAGCAACACAGCCATTACACTAACTGCTGGTCCCATCCATTTTAGTTTTTAAATTTGAAACATTTCAGATAATTTCATACTGACCTATCAGTAGTAAGTAATATTTCTTCATCTTCTAAAAATTAAGGAACCAGATCTTTCTTAAAACAGCCCTGTGTTGTTTATCATAGTAAATATTCCAAACAGTGCAAATTTGGGTTGTTGGAAAAGTCATGATGCATTTTTGCATAGAAAAACAGAAAAAATACATCATGACTTTCCAGATGACCTAGTGGGTTTTATTTCACTCATGAGGAAGAAACTTAAGTATTGAGCACCTGTAACTTACAGTGGTATGGTATGAAATAAGATTAGGTAGGAAAACAAGTAAGTCTTAATCATGAAAGCTTCATAAAAATGAAATGCTATTTCTTTTCAGTTCTTTATGTTTATTTTCCAGGGCAAACTCTTCGATTCTACGATAGCTGATGAGGGAACATGGACTTTGGGTAAGGGTAATCTATTGTCATTCATAAACTCGTGATTTTGTCTTGGAACTATCTTTTTTACTTTTGTATTAGTTCCTTTTGTCTGCAGCTTTGGAAGACATAGTCATAGAAATGTGTTGAAACAGTTACATGTTAAAATTACCTTATGGTTTTTGAAAAATACAAAATTTAATAATGAACTCTAATTTTTTAATTCGTGCGGTTATTTTTCTTCAGAGGACAGAAAAATGGTCCGGATTGTTCTTACAAAAACAAAGAGAGATGCAGCAAATTGTTGGACTTCTTTACTAGAATCTGAATATGCAGCTGATCCGTGGGTACAAGATCAAATGCAGAGAAAGCTGACATTAGAGAGATTCCAGAAAGAAGTAAGTCAGATGAATGTATGAATGTGCGTAGTTAAATATCTAATGATTATAGAATAAATATCACTGGAAATTAAAACTAATGTGTCGTGGCTGGCAGGTGGCATGGTGGTTTAAGCACTGGACTCCTCATGGTCAACCGTGGTTTGAGTCCTGGACCTGGTGGCTTGTTTTTCACTTTCTATCTTTCTCTTTCTCTCATTCTGTCTCTCACTCGCTCGCTCTCTTTCTCTGGTGAGCACACATGCTCTATAGCAAATTAAAAAAACAATAAGAATTGAATAAAATTAAATACTTTTTTCTTTTTTTTTTTTAACAGAGATTTTTGCTATTGGGCATATGCGCTCGCTAGAGAGTTAGAAAGAGAGAAAATGAGAAATCACCTCCTGGGAGGATGGCCATACGACAATCCCTTCTCCCCAATTGTCCTCTTAGGATTGTGGGCGCACATGCACACATGAGGTTCAAGCTGCCAGGTCCAGGACTTGAACTGTGGTCAGCCGTGTAGTAGTCCAGAACCTAAACCACCACACCACCTGCTGACCCCAGTAAATAATTCTTTAAAAAATAAAAACTAATGTGTTTATGAAAAGTTAAAAAAAGTTCTTCAGAGAACTTTAAGTAAAAGGTTAGAAAAATGGCCTTTCAATGTGTGAATCTGATTTTTAAATTTTCTTGAGGGGAATTTATTTGTATTGCTCTGATTTCTTAGTTTAAATTTACTTAATGCGCATCAATAAACTTACCCAAATTTAATCAATATAAACTTACATAGTATAAAAAAGTGAAAGACTCCTGCTGTGGTTTAGATAATGGTTTGTCCCCCAAAGTCTCATGTTTTGAAATGTAGTCTCCAGTGTAAAGGCATTGGGAAGTGGAGAGACCTTTAACAGGTGAGGCCTAGTGGACAGTGTTCGGATCATGGGGTTTTCACTCTCACAAATGGATTGGTTACTTAGACTTAGGAGACCAAGTGTGTTCTAAAGCCCTCCTGAAAGTGGTTAGTTCCCACAAAAACAAATTGTTATGAAAGGAAGATTAGCGGCCTCCAGGTCTCTCTGTGCATGTACCTGTCATCCTCTCACCAGTCAACTATGTTGTAAACTTGATGCCTGCACTACACCTGGACTTTCCAGCCACCAGAATCAAAAGCCTAATAAACTTTTATTTTTCAGAAATCACCCAGTGTCAGGTATTTGTGATAGCAAAAGGTAGAAGACTAAGACTGTTCCTCACCATCATCCTTTCCACCCATTCCATGGCTATGTGGTCATTTTTATCTCATATTGGCTTGTTTGTTTTATTTTTAACATAGAGGATCACAGTGTGTATATTCTTCATACTGCTTTTTCATTTAATAGAATGTCTTAGATCTCTTT